CCTGGTCCTCATTCTTGAATCATCCAGACAGGACAGACTCCAAAATGTTGTAAGAAAAAATATTGATGGGGCTGTGGATTGATTGATTCGATGTGGGGTTGAAGGAGAGCAGAAAGTCTAAGAAGACTAGACTCTGGCTTGGGTGAGTGGGTAGACGTGTTTACTTGGGTAGGAAATATAAAATGTGGAATGGTATAGCAGGTTATGGTGGCTCACACCTCTAATGCTAGCACACTGGGAGGCCTAGGCAGACAGATCCCTTGAGCTCAGGAGTTCAAGACCCCTGTTTCTACTAAAATATAGAAAAAATTAGCTGAGGATTAGCTGGGACCTATAGTCCCAGCTGTTGGGGGGCCTAATGTAGCCACACACAAACCCTTTCTCCCCTCCCCCTCTCCTCCTAAGAAAAAGTCATAAAGGATCTGGCTAACCCACCCCCTGAGAAAATCACACTAAAAGACCCTAACTTTCCAAACAAGCTGTGGAATGTGCCCACCCTCTATGGCTCCATATAAAAGGGATCTCTAACTGCCCCCTCCCCCAGCCACCATCTTTGCCCTGCCCAGACGGGTCACCCTTCCCCTTTCAATAAACCTGGCCTGTACATCTCTTCTGCAGCCTTGTCTTTGGGCACCATTGTTTACACCTTTCACCAGCTACTTGGGAAGCTGAGGCATGAGGATCTCTTGAGCCCAAGAATTTGAGGTTGCTGTGAGCTATGATGATGTCACACCAAGGCACTCAACCCTAGGGTGACAGAGTGAGACTCTGTCTCTAAGTAAATAAATAAAATGTGGAGTGGATTTGGGAGGAATAATGTGGTCAGTTTGACATGTTGAGCTCTACTGTAAGTATGTGAGTATGTAAATTTTAAGCTCAAATGAGAAGTCAGGTCTGGACTCGATAGTCTTTGTGTACAGCGGGTAGTTAAACCCAGGAGACAGAGGTTGCCATAACCCAAGGAGAGCATAGTAGAAGAACAAAGCTGTGGGCCAAGGACAGAGCTTTGGGGAACCCCAGCATCTATGGGATATGCAGGGAATAAGAAGGCCGTTCAGATTTGACATTAAATAACAAACATATATATAAACTGCCAAGTATATATTTTCTTTTTTTCCCCATTGTTTGGGATTCATTGAGGGTACCAAGTATATATTTTCAAGCTAGGTTTCATTTGTGAGAGGCAAGGTAGCAAGGAAGGGCAGTCAGACAAATCTGGGTTCAAGTCTAGCACTTGCCACTTAACTCATTCTGTGACTGTTTTCAAGTTACTATGTGCTTGTGAAATGTGAATATCACCAATACAATGCTCAAATGGGTTAATCTTCAAAACCACTTGCATGGTTCGTTGCCTAGCATGTAGCACGGACCCAATAAATATTGAATATTATCACCAAATACACAAAACGTAGAATTATTTTTCATTTCACTGTCATATATTGGCAATTGAGAAAATGGTCAGGAAGTCTGTTGACTTGCAGGAATAAACTAAAATGAGAATTAAACAATTGTATTAAAAACCTACCAAAATAGGGCTGTGCCTGTGGCTCAGTGGGTAGAGTGCTGGCCCCATATACTGAGGGTTGCAGGTTTGAACCTGGCCCAGGCCAACCAAAAATAGCTGGGTGTTATGGCAGGCACCTGTAGTCCCAGCTACTTGGGAGGCTGAGGCAAGAAAATCACCTAACCCCAAGAGTTGGAGGTTGCTGTGAGCTGTGATGCCACAGCACTGTATCGAGGGTGACAAGATAAGACTCTGTCTCTAAAAAAAAACAAAACCTACCAAAATAGTTTTTGGTTAGACACTCAAGAACTGGTATTTTTCATGAATTTGTATAGTGGTACTAGGAAACAGAAGTAATAGTAATAGGTTAAAAAAATTAACTGGGGGCTCGGCGCCTGTAGCTCAACCGGCTAAGGCGCCAGCC